TCCAGGCCTCTTCTGAGTCGTCCAGGTGGTGAATGGCGAACTTCATGCGGGCCTGTACAGGTTTCTTCTTGAGCAGGGGGACCTTGCGTGCGCTGCAGGATTTCAATCCATGACGGCGTAGTGTGTTACCAACCGTTTCTTTTGTAACTGTGGTCCCAGCTGCCTTCAGTTGATTCATCAGTTCCCCCCTTGTGGTTTTGGGATGATTCCTCACCGTTCGCATGATCAGGGACACCCCACGAGGCGAGATCTTGTGTGGAGGCCCAGACCGAGGGAGGTTGGCGGTGGTGTGGTGCTTCTTCCATTTCCTGATAACTGCACCGACAGTTGCTCTTTTCTCTCCAAGTTGCTTTCCGATTCTCTTGTAGCCCATCCCAGCCTTGTGCAGATCAACAATCTTGTCCCTGATGTCCGTAGAAAGCTCTTTGGTCTTGCCCATGGTGGTGATGTTGGATGCTGGTTGTTTGGGTGTTGACAGGTGTCTTTTATACAGGTAACGAGGTGAGGCAGGTGTATTTGATGTAGATAATTGGTTGGGATTGGGGCTGTGTCTTAAAGAAAGACTAACTGGCTTGTAGGAGCCAGAATACTTGCTGTTTGGTAGAGGGTCAGATACTTGTTTTTCCTCATCAGATGGTTATCAATTTTTATAAATTCATATGATGTGATTTTCTGGAATTTTCTTTGGGATTCTGTCTTTCACTGTTAGAATGTACATATGATTAAAATTGTAGATTGTTGCATTCTTTGTAAGTGGGCAAACCTGCAAAATCAGCAAGGGGTCAAATACTTTTTCCCCCCACTGTAACTGAGCTAGCCAGTGACACTGATTGGGTGACTAAAATTACCATTAAACCACTGTGGTAAACTACTGTTTTGTAATCTCGAGATCACAAAGAAAATTATCCCGTTATTACGGGAAAATGGAGTCAAAATTTTTTTTGAATTGATGGCCGCTTATACTGGATTACAAACTGGATTAAAATCAACTCTTTATTTAACTGCAAAGTGTGAATCTGATGAATGTGATGTTTGTTATGTTCCTAAAATGCTGAGGGTGTCACTATGAGGTCAAGAAAAAGGAACGATTCAGAGAGAAACATCTTATGTGACAAGATAAATGAGGGGAAATCTACAGGATTAGATCAAAAGATAAAGTTAGTTTTGTTTTAGATATTTTTTTTATTTACCTTTCTGTAAAGCCCTTGATGTTACTCTCTCCGGTCAGTAGGTGGCGGTATGCACCTCTGCAGTCCGTCATTAAATCAGAGAAGTAGACTGAGGAGGAAAAGCGGCTGTTAATTAGTAAAAATGTCAAAAGTCGAGAGCAAGGAGGAACTTTGTTGAAAACGCAAACTACCAGATGCTGTTTTCAAGCCTGAAGTCCTGTTATACAGAGCAGGTTTGTACACTTTACTGCTTATTCTCACTTTAAACAGCCTTTACTGCAGTAAAAGTACTAATACCACTCTGTGAAAATACTCCACTGCAAGTAAAAGTCCTGCATTTAAACCTTCAAAGTATCAGCAACATGTACTTACAGTATGACAGCAAAAGTACTCATAATGCAGTAAAATCTTCCTGTCAACGTTTCTCTATTATATCTGATGTTTCTGGATTAATATTCCTGCTGCAGTAATGTTGCATTTTACTGCTGCAGATGTTTAAGGACCCAATTTTCTGCCATAAAAATCCTCCCTCTGGCCATATATGGCCATCAGAGAACAGAAAATTGACAATAGAAAATTAGTCTTGGCCAATTTTGCAGAATACAGACATTGTTAAGTTATGAACAAGCAGGGGATCAAACATTTGTATTTGTACTCATCCTGGATGAGAAGCTCGGCTATATCATGTATCACATATTCATAACTGACCTATAGTGTGGTATCTGCAATGTCTCCTAGATTAAAAGCTACAAGTGTGAATGTTTCTTTGCAGGACTACTTTTGTGTCTGAGACCTTTGTTTTGAAAAATTGTTGCCTGGTTCAACAGTCACAAGCTTTAACGCTTGATTGTAATAAAAGTATCCACCTTTCTCCATTTTTTTAATTGTACACCCACATCAACAGAGACTTGATTCAAACCCGGTTGCGTTTTGATTTCTTTCTTTAAACTCATTTGGGACCCCTCAGGGCACCCCGATGACCTCTATCAAAACATTAGTATCAATGGAGAAAATCTGGACTGGAGCATTTCTGCCATTGAGGCTGTGAGGCTGTGAGGCTTCGTATGGCATAATAAGGACAACCCATGCTAATACTACTCTCGCGCATGTACCTCTCCATCCTTCCGGCAGAGTTTGGTACAGCCGGCCACTCCCACAGGACCAGTACAGGTCAGGGATTACACGGATTTGGTGTAATAGCATGTCAGCGCTAGGCTTGTATGCAGTGTGGCAGTCTGCGTTGTTGTCTACTGTGCAGTGCCAGGTGTGTGAGCACACAACAGGGAAATGCCCCACCGACTGACCAGCTGTTTGAACCTTGGAATGAGCCTCACCTAGGTGAAAACATCAAAATATGATGTCTGTTGCTACTGTGTTGTTTTGAGGAGTTGGGATGGCGGTGCTTGCGTGGGCAAGGAGTGGACATCTCACATAAGTTTCTAACAGGGCCGTGTCGACTTTGTAGCCACGTGTGAGCACTGGAGTTGGCGTTGGAGAGTGGGAAAGGTTTAAATTTGGAAACTATATGTGAGCATTCCATGCAGGCTGTGTAAGGCAGAGGCAACTACCTGAAGCAACTAGAATTTACAGTGGTGCGCTATTCAGCACTCTGTACTAAGCGTTCCCATCCGGTGGGAAGCTCAGTGTGCTACTGCGCGCTTTGATCTATTGAGACTATGCGGTATTAGTGTGGTCGAGTTGGATGTAGGTGGATGTTTGTCAGATGTGTACAGAATAGGAAACACCATAATCACAGAAATACCAGTCAAACACAACATCTCTGAGACCGAACCGCTCCCATCCTGGCAACTGGAAAGGGTGGATTCCATCATCAATTCCTCGTTGGTCACTCTGTAGTTCAAATACGTGTAGTGTAGTGTTTGGCTATCTGCTTCTTTCTTCTTCCCCCCCTCACTCATGTCCACAGTGAATGTTATGACCTATGGCTATATGTTCGGTCAATTCAAAATACCAAGAATATAGTGACTTCTGGTTACTTCTGGAGTGCTGTCCTTAGCACCTCTGGTCTGCTGAGCTCGAGCCGATTGAGTTGGATGTGGATGGAGGCTCAACATCGTCGCAGGGTTCTGGGATAGACTTACAGTGGCTGGCGTGGACCCAGGTATCCCATCCCATGACTTTCACAGCGGTCTCAGTGGTTAAAGGCACTTGGAAAGGACCTCAAAAACCAATTAAAGGAGAACCTGTGGCCCTTGATGAGTACACAACTCACTGGCTCTAAATGAGGGAGAGTAGCCATGGCTTCAAAGGGCAGCTGTGAAGGCAATGTCACTTGCGCATATGGGAAAAACAAAGTATTGCTTCACCAAACATTTTGTCATACTGTTACCATTTTACAGCACCAGCACTTTGTTGCTGATGCCATCACTCAGGAAGGAAAACAGAGATGAATTTCAGTTATTAGGCTTCTAAGGGCTTTGGCCACCATTCAGGCCTCCTGTTCATGGAAAACTTTGCCAACAATTACAAGACAGCATTTAATTTTTTCGCATGGTGTTGGTACAATCCACCATAAGATCCTGTCTGGACCTGTAGGAAAGAAGAGATTTTGAGTTGGTTCGCAGTTGTTTTGCTCCACAATCTCTCTGAGAGAGCTCTGGCTAGACAGTAGCATGTTCTAAACCGGTCTCACCCTCTCTGTATGGGTATTCATCTTGGAGCTCAAAGTGATGAATAACAGCGTGTCCAATAACACAGTTTACCTTCCATCTCTGTCCCTGAACAGCTGCTAAGTGAGACCTAGTGCTCACGATGCACCGCACCATTTACTGCTAGTTGGTCTAGAATACTCTCTACCACTCTGTGCTCTGTTGGTTGGCCTTACCCCCAGTTTTCCTTTTGATGGAAAGTTGTGGGAGTGGGCATACGAGTCATCGCAGGGGATGGTGACTCCAGCCTATAACAGTGAATTCAAAACATACCCAGGCTTTTGAATCACTAACTAACAAACAAATAAACAAACAAACATGTTTAACACATTCAAGCACTTCTTGTTTAGTAGATATCATTTTCCAATCCAAGAGTCCAGATCAAATTAGACTTTGTTTTTCCACCATTGTTTTTTAAGGGCGTGTCGGACTAGCTGCTAGGCGAACATTACGACCCGTGTTGTCTTGTGACATCGGCAGATAACGGAATTAAAAGCTAAACTACAAACAAGCTGTTTTCAGGCAGTTCAGAGCAGAGTTTTCTGTGGGAGATGCGAAACCGATTTGGGCTGGACTTTTGGCTTTTTCACTTTGCAAACCTATTACATGCATAAAAAAGGTTTAAAACTCAATAAAGAGAGGGAAAAACCAAAAAGCATAGTAGCATCTTTAAATATAACAAAAAGTTTCTAGAGCACCAAGGAACAATATGCTCTATATATACTATTTCTGCTTTCTACAGATTTACGCTTGTTGAGCAGGTGTACTGGTGAAGTTGTGCCGTTTTATTGTACTTACTGACAATAAATATGTGAAAATTTGGTGCTTCAAGTGGGGAGTTTACAGCGTCCTTTCAGACTTGGACTATGGACGAGTAACTGTTAACATCACTGCAGCTTCCTGCACACCTGTCGCCAGAAGACATTACAACGCTGACAAAGAAACGGTACTTGGGGAACCTGCAATGTCACACCATCCCTTTGGCTGAATGATCAGTAGCTGGTTTTGTGGTGCGTTAAAGTACTATAAATAATATTTGTTTCCTGAACCAAGTTGGAATCACTTCCTGATCTTGTGGCATCCACAGACTTTTGGCCAAATAATGTATCTTCATCTGAATGGTGTCAGTAGTCCTGAGCTGAGAAAGACAACAAACACACTCCAGTAACATTCTGCTTTTATTGGAACAAGAGCCAGAATTCAAAGCAACACATGACAGAAGGTCCAAGTCAACGGCATTTCCACCATTTAATGATCAGAGCTTCCATCTTTAAAGGACTGGAAGTGGAAGAAGTTTACATGGAAATGAGGAATCTGTTCAATCACTTTGAATCACTTTGTACAAAGTTCATTGATGGATTTATTACAAGAAGCTGAAAGATTTCTGTGATCCTGTACAGACTCAACTGATCTGTTCTTTAACAGGAGGAGACTCCCTCATCCAGAGAACAAATAGACACTGAGGAACCAGCCTTCCAGAACCTAAATCCAGGATAAAGAGGTTCAGTGAATGTGGTGTTGAAGGTGTGGAGGTGGATCAGTGTGTCAGAGGAGACTCTGTAGAAGGACAGAGAGCCAGCAGGACAGTCCACATACACTGCTACTCTACCAGAGGAAGTCGAGGAGATGGATATTCCTTTATTATTGTGCCAGGCAGAAGAACCACCTCCATCAGAGCAGTCAATACTCCAGGACTGATCATTCCTTCCAAACCCACAGTCTTCTCTGTCTCCTTTCCTTCTGATTCCTCTGTAACTCACTGATATATCAACTCTTCCTCTCCACTCGACCTCCCAGTAACAGCGACCAGTCAGACCATCTCTACACAGCAGCTGCCTCCAGCGGTCAAACCTGTCTGGATGATCAGGATATGGCTGATCCTCCTCCTCCTCACGTGACGCCTTCCTGTTGTTGTCAGATAGTATGATCCATTTGTGTACTGTGTTTGTGTCAATTGTGAGTTCACAGGAATCTGATGAGAGAACGAGACACAATCCAGCTGCAGTTATTGATCTATCATCTGTTCATTGATTGGCACTTTGAATGAGTGATGTCACAGTCTGAGGATGGTTGAATGTGTTCTGATTTGTTTTGTTTTATATGAAAGTGATGCAGATGTTGAATCTAATTATTCTGTTTTCAATCCATACCAGCTAAATGAATGTAAGTACATTGGCAATATTGACTCTTTGCAAACAGTAAACGCCATTCCTAGGGCATTTGTAATAATTAAAGTCGCCACCCACAGAGGTTGATTTATTCTCTTTCCAAAACCTGAAATAAATCCAGAAAAATGTTGGCTGTGGATTGTTCCTAATGTAATGTTAGTTAGCTAACGCTAGGTAACTTCCAACTGAATGTAACGTAATAAAGAATGTAATAATGAATAGAGGCCTACCCAGCTGTACAGGAACAGTGTTGTTGTCGTTCCTATCATTGACTTTTGTCTCAATTGTCTGGGGATGCGGTGGTTCACTTCTACTGTGTGAGTGGTAGGCTTTAGCGTCTATCTTTTAATTTTTTTTCCACATCCGTTTGAATCAATTTGAGTCAGTTTGACAGCCTGAATACAACCTTCAAATGTATAATGCAACTGCAAATCTGTCTGCTTCTTTCTGAGATCGCTTTTTCCTACAAATTTGACAATATTTCTCCGGGGAGTGCAGTAATAGACAGTGGCAGCGCAAACAGTTTGTTGGACTTAGCAACAGTAACTAAGGGGGACGGGGCTTAGCAAAGGGTCCATTGAGCTCAACCTCTGCTGATTGAGTGAAAAATATTGAATGTTAGTGTCTACACCATGACCACATGGTGTAGGCAATGAGAAACAAAAGGGATTTGTGTGTCGAGTTTAGAGAAATGGGTATTAGAAACCATTAGAAATTTTTGCTCAATAGCCTCGTTATAGTGTTCAAGCAATTGAGAAAAACTGTATGGAATGTAAACTGTGTTTTCTATTTGGTGATTTTAACATCAATCTTTTTCAAAGTGAAAGACATGCTCCAAGAGCTGATTTCTTACATGCATTGTATTCATCCTATTTTCATCCTCTTATATGCAAACCAACATGAGTGACAAACAAAACCACCACCCTAATCGATAATATTAAAAAAAAAAGTTTTATGTATCCAATTCAGGAATACTGTGTACAGATATTTTCAGACGAGTTCCCCATATTTAATTTGAATTCAGGAATTAGTGGTATTCCAAGAATGTCTACGAATAAACCAAGCAATCGTAGGTTTAGTGAAGAGAATATAGACCACTTTAAATCCATGATTGAGCATGTCACATGGGATAATATTTATATTCAACATGATGCTGAATCAGAGTGTCAATCACTTTAACAAATATTTAATTCTATTTTTCTTGAGTGTTTTCCACTAGTTAAGTATAAAGGCAAGTCGGACAAAAATAAACCATGGTTCTCTTCAGGAGTATTGAAGTCCTCAATAAAGACAAACAAACTATATAGAAACTTTCTGCAAAATCCAACTCCACATAACTCTGATATCTCTGAAGACAATGATGGTGCACACCTACTTTGTATAACAAAGAAAAATTACTATTCATATAAATTTAAAGAGTCTCTTAGCAATATAAAATCCACATGGAAACGCATCAATGAATTATTCAACAAAAAAATGGTACTATTAAAATTCCATCTAATTTTACTAATGATGGTATTTCTCTTTCCAACCCTTCTGATAAAGCCAATGTATTTAATGACTACTTTGCCAATGATCGTCCAATTGATTCCATTATTGGCTGCTTTCCCACATTGTGTAATTTTGATCCCCCTACATCCAGAGAAGTGTTTGACATTATAGTCAACTTTAATGACGTTGAAGCAGGTCATAATGAAATTAAAGCAAAGCTTTTAAAAGAAGTGAGCCATTTACAATTAGTGAGCCTTTCATTAAATATAGAAAAATCTAATTTTATAATTTTCAGTAATAAAAATAAAAGTTATGTAAAAGAAGATGCTAAATTGTTTATTAACAATATTAAAATCAACCAAGTTATGTGAGCAAAATTTTTTGGTGTATTAGTAGATTAAAAATCATGAAGTGACTTGGCATTATTAGAAAAGTTTATTCATTGGTAAATGAATTCTACCTTTTAAGTCTTTACTATAGTTTATATCTGTACATCATACTGTCACATTGTTTGAGCCAGTAATAACCCTTCTTCTCTTCAAAATATCATTTTAATCCGAAAAAGGTTTTTAAGGTTGGCAACTGCATTAATACAAATCAGCTCCTCCTGTAAATATCTATCAAACATGTATCTTTATGTATAAATGTATGGTTCAAAATCATAGCCAACCAAAAGTATTTCACAACTAACTGTGATGACCCTTCATATCAAATCCGACAAGCTAAGAATATTCATCTCCCTTATTATCATACAACTCTTCGACAATATTTCAGAAGACCATTATTTTGGAATACTATTCCCCTTTCTATCAAAACTAGTCCATTATTGTCAGTATTTAAGTCAAGCATGTAAAAATACTTATGTCATGGTAAAAATTTCAGTATGGCTGTTTTGTATGTTTTATTTAATGGTTTATCATTATTCTCATTATTTTTTATAATAATTTTGTAATATAAACTGAAAATCCAGAGGGGAGGTTTCACTATAAGCCCCTGCAGGTTTCTTGCCTCTCCTGCATAATTCATACAATGTAATTTTAAATATTTTTATTTGTCTTTGTGCTACTAAATAAAGGAAAATTTGTTTACATGAAGTAAGTGAAAAGCACACTTACACTTCCTCAGACCTGGTCTCAACCATCGGACTCCACCATGCTCCACCCTGAAAGGAGGAGGGGGGTTAGACCAGTACATCCTCTGTCAGCATCAAACATGGACATTACATTTCTCTCATATATATATATATATATATATATACACAATTTGAGCATCGACCCTTATCTGCCTCACAGTGGTTTGGTCCACTACCTACCTTTTTTAGAACCACAGAGACTTTATTTCGTCAGTTCTAGTAAGTTATTCAGACCATCAGGGGAAAAGTGAGAAATATACAAAAGTCAGTTATATTGTCAGCTAATTTATTCCCCTGCATGCTGCTCAGAGTATCTCCCTCTCCACATGCACCATTTGAGGAGTGTCTCTGTCGCTCTTCATTAGTATCGGTTTTTATTACTAAGTGGCGAAAGTCAAAGAAAAGGGCCTGGACAGCCACACCCCCTCCTGAACTGGAAACCAGGTCAGGACAAGTGTGTAGTAGGAATAAGATGTGGATAACAGCTGACAGGAAATTGCATTGTTCCACGTAGAACAACACATAATTCCACATAAACTATGTTGTCTCTTATGTTTACTGTGTTTTGGGAAAAGACAAGAAGCTTAATGCCAAAATAATCTAACAAGAGAGTATTCAAAAACCAGTGATACCACAAAGATAGTCAGACGGGTGATCATAGCCAATTCCCCCATACATGGCTTGCCCAAATGTTAAAACGTCCTGTCCATCCGAGCATGTGCAGGAAACTACTGCTGTATGCCTGTTTAGTCATAGAAAAGCAAAAAACCTCAAAAAGCTTATAAACAAGACACATTCTACTCATCAATAAAAAAAATTTGATTTATTATTTGAAGAGCAAAAACAACATGATTAGTCTTCCCAAAAACTCAAAGTGGTTCATCATAATTATTATTTCCTTGAAAACATTTGTTTCTAAATAAGGCAAAAATATTGCTGCATAACAGGAGTGAACCACCTGTGATTACTGACAATCAGTCTGACAGAATGTTGACTAAACAAACCAAGTACCTTTAATAATTTATTATTAACCAAGGTATCGTCGTCATATCGCATTTGTGACTTTCCATTACATTTTATTCTCTCTGTGTGCTTGTTATGAGTGTGAATATTGTAAATAATGACCAAATATCTGAGAGACGTCGTCATGACTTTTCTTTGTAAATCTTTTTTCTTTTGATGACCCTAGGCTAGTAACTTTGGAAGAAGGTTATTTCTGAGACTGACAGACAGTTCCTTTAACATGCAGAGATCTGTCCAAACTGATTCAATTATTACCAATAGGCAATTATCATGTTTGATCTTGGAAATGTTCTGCTAGTAGACCTCCTACACAAAGATGTCCTTTTTATGTTCAACCAGTGTTTCTGTTCTTAGCACCATTCCATAATTTCCACCATTAACCAAAAAACAGTCTGACTGTGGCTGCAGCAGGCCTCTTCATACCTGAGAGTGTCCAGGCTCCAGTGTGGATCCTCCAGTCCAGCAGACAGCAGCTTCACTCCTGAGTCTCCTGGATGATTGTAGCTCAGGTCCAGCTCTTTCAGATGGGTTGGGTTGGAGCTCAGAGCTGAGGCCAAAGAAGCACAGCCTTCCTCTGTGATCAGACAGCCTGATAGCCTGCAATCACACAAACCAACACACACAGGAATCCCCTGAGAACAAGAACAAGTTAATGGTCTTATTCAAATCATGTTATAAGACATAATCCTATACAGGTTAGCTGTTTATCTACTGATGTAATTGTAATTTTAAGTGGTCATTCATTAAATGTGTTGAGGATCCTGACCCAAGAGTTTCCAGTTCACAGTGTGGACTCTCCAGTCCAGCAGAAAGCAGCTTCACTCCTGAATCCTGCAGGTTGTTGTTACTCAGGTCCAGCTCTCTCAGACTAGAGGACTGGGAGCTGAGAACTGAGGACAGAGCTTCACAGCTTCTTTCTGAGAGGTTACAGCCACTCAGTCTGGACAGGGAATAATTAACAAGAAAAGAGATAACATTTGTTTGAAAATGTTGAGACTGATATTTTGGTTATACACAACAATGTATATACATTTTTGCTTATTTTCTACATTTTTTAAGTGTGGAACCTAATCATGACTGAAAGAGACAGACAACCACACTGAAACAAAAACAGCCCATCTAATAACAAATTTCTTGGTGAGACAGAGGATCAAACTATAAAGTGTACCTCAATACAAAGATGAATTTATGAATTAGTTATTCCTCACAAGTCCAAATTCTGGTAAATTATCAGGCTTAACAACACACACAATTACTGACTTATCCCATATATATGGCCACTGGGATGAATCCATTCAACAGAAACCGCATGACTTCATTACTTTCAGTGAAGGCCTAACTTTGTTTCTTTCATTTTGGCCCATATATCTGATCTCCTGCTGATTGGAAGATCATGGATTTGATCCCCTTTTGTTACTTAATAGTTTTATATTGAGATACACATTCATTGTATCACATTTTCCAGTGTTAAGGTCCATTTCAGCCTTTCAGTGGCTAGTTTCAAGAAATCTGTCCTAGCAAATTTGGCTTAACTGAATGTAACAATATTTAACAATATTAATGTATGAATGTTTGGCCTTTTTTCTAGGAGGGCTGTTTTTGAAATGTTACTCTCAAAATAAGGAAAATATTCTTTTCCTGTGCTGCGACATCATGCAAACAATTGCTGTAACTTGTTACTCAATATTAGCTGTAATATCTTATTAAGAAAACATTAGATTATATATTCTTAAAACAAGATTGATTTTATTTTACTTGCTTGAATGTTCATTTTAGACAGAATTAAGACAAAATTCCCAGAAACAAGACTTTTTTACTTTCTTGAGATCCTTTCTTCCAGAGTAGTAGGCAAATGATCACTATCAAAAGATCACTATGTTTCTCCATCTCTGCTAAAGGTAATATTTCATACTGAAAACCATGCGAATTGGAATTGGAAAAAAATACAGGCCAAAAATGTTGAATTTATTAATGAATTAATCCCACTTACAGAGCTTTCTGGAGGCTTTGACCACTGGCAGCAGCCTCAGAAGAGCCTCCTCTGAAGCAGAGTATTTCTTCAGGTCAAACACATCCAGATCTGTTTCTGATGACAGTAAGATGAAGCCCAGAGCTGACCACTGAGCAGGAGAGAGTTCATCTGTGGAGAGACTTCCTGAACTCAGGGACTGTTGGATCTTCTCAACTAGAGAACGATCATTCAGTTCATTCAGACAGTGGAACAGATTGATGCTCTTCTCTGCAGAGTGAGTCTCTTCGATCTTCTTCTGGATGTATTCAACCGCTACCTGATTGGTTTCTGAGCCAATTCCTGTCTCTGTCAGCAGGCCTCGTAGGAGAGTCTGATTGGTCTGCAGTGAAAGTCCCAGGAGGAACCGGAGGAACAAGTCCAGGTGTCCATTTGGACTCTGTAAGGCCTTGTCCACAGCACTCTGGTAGAACTGTGTCAATGCAGATTCATCTTCACTTGTTTCAGGCTTCTGGCAGGTTGATTGTTCTTTTGCCAGCAGGTTGACACCAGAACTGATGAAGGTCAGATGGACATGAAGAGCAGCCAGAAACTCCTGAACACTCAGATGGACGAAGCAGAACACCTTGTCCTGGTACAGCCCTCTCTCCTCTTTAAAGATCTGTGTGAACACTCCTGAGTACACTGAGGCTGCTCTGATATCGATGCCACACTCTGTCAGGTCTGATTCATAGAAGATCAGGTTGCCTTTCTGCAGCTGCTCAAAAGCCAGTTTTCCCAGAGACTCAATCATCTTCCTGCTCTCTGGAGTCCAGTGTGGATCTGTCTCAGCTCCTCCATCATACTTGATGTTCTTCAGTTTGGACTGAACCACCAGGAAGTGGATGTACATCTCAGTCAGGGTCTTGGGCAGCTCTCCTCCCTCTCTGGTCTTCAACACCTCCTCCAGAACTGTAGCAGTGATCCAGCAGAAGACTGGGATGTGGCACATGATGTGGAGGCTTCGTGATGTCTTGATGTGGGAGATGATTCTACTTGCCTGCTTCTTCTCTGTGAACCTCTTCCTGAAGTACTCCTCCTTCTGTGGGTCAGTGAACCCTCTGACCTCTGTCACCATGTCAACACATTCAGGAGGGATCTGATTGGCTGCTGCAGGTCGTGTGGTTATCCAGAGGCGAGCAGAGGGAAGCAGGTTCCCCCTGATGAGGTTTGTCAGCAGCACATCCACTGAGGTGGACTCTGTAACATCAGTCAGGACCTCATTGTTGTGGAAGTCCAGAGGAAGTCGACACTCATCCAGACCGTCAAAGATGAAGACAACCTGGAACTCTTCAAACCTGCAGATTCCTGCTTCTTTGGTTTCAGTAAAGAAGTGATGAACAAGTTCCACCAAGCTGTACTTTTTCTCTTTCAGCACATTCAGCTCTCTGAAAGTGAATGGAAATGTGAACTGTATGTCCTGGTTGGCTTTGTCTTCAGCCCAGTCCAGAGTGAACTTCTGTGTTAAGACTGTTTTCCCAATGCCAGCCACTCCCTTTGTCATCACTGTTCTGATTGGTTCATCTCTTCCAGGTGAGGCTTTAAAGATGTCTTCTTGTCTGATGGTTGTTTCTGGTCTGTCTGGTTTCCTGGATGCTGTTTCAATCTGTCTGACCTCATGTTCATCATTGACCTCTGCAGTCCCTCCCTCTGTGATGTAGAGCTCTGTGTAGATCTGGTTCAGAAGGGTTGGGTTTCCTGCTTTAGCAATCCCCTCAAACACACACTGGAACTTCTCCTTCAGCTTAGATTTAAGTTTACGCTTACAGACTGCAAAAGGCGGTTCTGAAAGAACATAAAACACATTAGATTAATTAATATTTAATATATTATTAATTATTTATGAAAAATTATCACAATTTAATACATATCTAACCATGCTTCCCTCCATCTGTTGAGCCATCAGTAAATGTCCCGTTTATCCAGCAGCTTAAATCTTTAGAGAAATCCTCTTACCGCTCTGCAGACGCTCAGCCAGCTCCTCCTGCTTCATTCTCCTCAGGAAGTGCAGTGTGATCTTCAGAAATGCCTCTCTGCTGCTCCTCCTCTGCTCTTCCTCCTCACCGTCCAACACCTCCTCATCCTCCCTCTGACTCTCTAAGCATTCTGGGTAATCTGAACTCAGACCCTTCTGGATCTTCTTCAGCTCGTTCTTCACAAAAGTGACAATGTTGTCCTCCAGCAGCTGGAACAGAATATTATATGAAGGACACAAAGTCAAATCATGGAACCAAACATCAGATCCATGTTGGACAGACTGACAATCCACTGGTCTAAAAAGTGCAGCGTGGAGATTATTGTGAACAGAATAGATGGAAAAGTAGTTGTTGTACATGTACAGACCATAAATATGGAGTCCAGGTGTGTTTGATGCTGCTGGGCAGACTGACCACTGGGAACCTCTGAGCTCTCCTGGTGGACTCTGTGGAGGAATCATGAAGAGTTAGCTCACATTATGTCTGTCCACACAGAGACAGACACAAGGTAAAGGCAGTCGCTTTGGAGCTGCTCAACAGTCAGAACGTGTGTGTGGAGAAAATGTTCAACTGAAGCCAAGAGCTGAAGACTGATCTACTGGTTATACTGGTTCTACTGCTTCTACTGCTTCTACTGGTTGTGAGAATGTATATGTCTGTGAAGAAGAACGATGCTGAAAATAAAAGCACAGGTTTATTAAAACTTCTCTGGAAAACAGTTAAACATGATAATCAGTCTGGTTTTAATATGACAGCTGACCTCTCTGCAGCAGACGGCCGGTCTCCTTTGAAATTCATGGGGTGACCCACTGACTGGTCACTCTTGAAGGACACACAGCTGGGCTCAGGTCCAGGTCCAGCAGAGGCTGGTCTCCCATAGATCCTGTTAGACAGAGAGGAAGACCACCAGGGATGAAAATGTCATTTTTAGCCTTCAGCCACAGAAGCTTCTGGAGAAACTGGCAGCTCTCAACAAGAAAAGGATCAAAGTTCACTAAAAGCTGAAGCTGAATGATTTCAGTCTGTGTATCATCGCTTCATTTCCAGCAAATATTGGACCAAACCAGGACTAAATGTTCTGATCTCTGAGCAGATCTTACTGTTCCTGACAGATACCAAACTTAACTGTGGCTCCATCAGCAGCAGCTCTGTTGGCCTGTATTCTAACGTTTGCATTACTAGACTCACCACAAATATCCTGACTGCTATTTACAGACTTTGGTAGGTGAAGCATTTTAGGACAAAATCCAAAGAGGAAGTTTCAGACTAAAAAGAGCTGAACTTGATTTGTGGAACTCAGACTGCTGAAGCTCATATTGTCCTCAGCTCAACTTTCCAATGTCTTTTTCCACAGAAGCAGGACTGTGGACTCTGTCCTCCATCACTTCCATTGAAACCCCATCAGGAAGAGATCTCTTCAGGGCCAGTGTGCACAGGAGGAACAATTCCAGCCACCAACAACTCTTTCAGTGGACATATGGGCATGTCAGTGTTGTTTAGGGACAGACTGGAAAACATGTGGACCTGTCCTTTAATCCTAATCTGGCTCTGACCTTCATCATCATTCTAGGAGAACATGGACATTAGAAGGACAACTGGTCAGACTGGATTTAATGAGGACAAACATCAGCAGGGAGCAACATGAGGAGGGAGACATGAACATTTAGCTCTGATTGGCCAACGCTGTTTAATACTGACACATACTCACTGTCTGTCAGACACATGTCCTCGCTTAAAATTAACGGGGTAACCCTTTGAGTGGTCACTCTTGAAGGACACACAGCTGGGCTCAGGTCCAGGTCCAGGTCCAGCAGAGTCTGGTCCCTGCTGCTGCTCTGGGCTTCAACACAACACACACAGAGCTTTGAGAGTGAATAATGATGGTGGAGTGATTTGAGTCCTGGACAGTTAGAGATCCTCATCTCACCTCTGAGCTTTGGTCTGGCTGTCATGTTCCCCACACAGAGTGCTTTTAGAGGGAGGGACTCCCTCCTCTCTGTCCTCACACTGACTCATGCTGCTCAACTCACATCCACTTTCACCTGGAGAGGAAACACAAATCATTCATCTGCACATCAACTCAAATCCTCCTTTCCATCATTTCTCCTGGAAAAAGATCAGCTGCTCCTCCACTGATTGGCTGCTAGTTTCTGTTTCATATCAGCTGCAGCTGAATGCAGTCAGACAGCAGCGTGAGGCAGAGGAAGCTGCCATCAGCTGCTGGACTTCTACTATCAGTCCACTAGATGGAGGCATGAAGCTGCAGCCCAGCACACACACCTGCATGGAGGAGCGGACACATTCACTGACACAGTGATATCTCACAAAAGTGAGTGCACCCTTCACATTTTTGTAAATATTCAATTATATCTTTTCATGTGACAACACTGAAGAAATGACACTTTGCTACAATGTAAAGTAGTGAGTGTAGAGCTTGCTTAACGGTGTAAATTTTTGTCCCCTCAAAATAACATATCACACAGCCATTAATGTCCAAACCGCTGGCAACAAAAGTGAGGACACCCCTAAGTGAAAATGTCCCAATTGGGCCTAAAGTGTCAATATTTTGTGTGGCCACCATTATTTTCAGAGCTTTATCAGTTGCCACTGGAGTCGTCTTCCACTCCTCCATGACAACATCACGGAGCTGGTGGATGTTAGAGACCTTGCACTCCTCCACCTTCCATTTGAGGACGCCCCACAGATGCTCAGTAGGGTTTAGGTCTGGAGACATGCCCGTTAATCGGAAGGTCGGCGGTTCAATCCCTGGCTCCCCCTGGTTGCGTGTCGAAGTGTCCTTGGTCCCTGGCGGCTTCTGCCAGTGAATGTGTGTGACTGGTGAATGCAGATGTAGTGTAAAAGCGCTTTGAGTGGTCAAAAAGACTAGAAAGTTGCTATACAAATACAGAGCATTTACATTGACCCAGCCTTCATGTTAATAGGTTCAATTCAATTTTACTTATATAGCGGCAAATCACAACAACAGTTATCTACACCGTACTCTGATCCAAGCAGTAAGTGATAGAGGCAAAGAAAAACTTCCTTTCAGAGGTAGAAACCTCGAGCAGAACCATAGCTCACAGGCTCAGAACCATGGCAACCATGGTGAGTGTAGGAACGGAAATTGACTAGTGGATCGAGAACTTTGCCTTCCGGCTAAGATCTCTTTTCTTCACAACAATGTGGTAGAGGGAATGCAATAATCTGCATTGTTTCTCTTGAATCCGAGGTTCGACTAAAGGCAACCCTCCTCTCCAGCACCTTGGATCAGATTTTACCAGGGAAGCTGAGATGTTTGATACCTCTGTAATTGGCACACAGTCTCTGGCCCCCCTTTTTGAACAAGAGAACCACTACACAGGTTTGCCACTCTTAAGGTACTGTCCCCAACTTCCACGCAATGTTGAAGAGGCATGTCATCTAAGACATCCACTCCACATCCAAAACTTTTAGCATTTCTCATCAATCCCTGGGGCTTTGCCACTGTAGCCTGTTTGACTACCTCAGTGAAATCCACCAGGCAAATTGACGATGATCCCCCATCAGCTTCCCGCTCTGCTGCTGCCTTGGAGGGCATGTTAGTGGGATTCAGGAGTTCCTCAAAGTGTTCCTTTCATCGTCCAAATTCCTCCTGAGTAAAGGTCAACAGCATCCTATCCTTACTGTATACAGCTTGGATGGTTTCCCGTTTCCTCCTCTTGAGGTTGCAGACGGTTTTTCAGAAGCACCTTTGTGCCAACCAAAAGTCCTTCTCCACACCTGCTGCTTTGCCTCTTTTACAGCGGAGGCTGCAGCGCTTTGGGCCGGTCAGTCCCTTGCTACTGTCTCTGGAGTGCTCTGGAATAATATTTCCCGGAAGGTCTACTTCAATCGGAGAGCTTTCCTGGCTGGGATTACTGTTTCTTACAGGCTAAAATCAACACTTTGACATAATACTGGTGGTACACATGAGAGGAATTTGGGTCATGTCAGCTGCTGAAGTAATGGGGAAAGCCATACAACTTAATTATAGTATTTTGCACCAGATAACGTTACCGGATAACTGCTTGGCGTTAGCAACTGCTCGGCAATTAGCTAACATTATCTAACTTGAACCAACTAAAGCACTAAATCATTTTATGTTTCACATGCTTTGCAGTGTGGATAGTTTACCTTTCCAATAGAATGAAAGCCAACTCTGTGTCGGTTTTGCCAGTTTCAAAACAAAGCGTAACTCAAGCCTTTCTGATGTTGACTGTTTTTCACCCTACATGGATTTGATTTTCGTCAGTCCTGAAGGGCTTCAGCACATAAAACCTTTTTGTTGTTTTTTATACTTACATGGAGTTTGTATTGAGAGTCTGTGTTGTTCTGGGACCCGGTTGTTTTGTGGTGTTAGTGGACTGCATTTCGTTAGATGCAGTGTTGTCTCTGTAGTCTGAGAGAGGTGCAGCTACAACCCACCCGATACCTTCACATAAGAAGCAGAATATTGGCTGTTCCACCAGAGTAAATAGGCGTGTTGTTCTCTTGTAAGTGAGGTTACAGCCCGTTGACAAAAAGGACGTAAACAAATTATTTATTAATAAGTAATTTCATTGATGAACTTCATATAGCCACTTTAAGCTGAAATAACAAGAAACATTTGTTCAAATGTTTAGCATTGCTGTAAAACCGGACCCACAACTCTCTCTCTCCTCCTCCCCTCTTTCCCTCCTTCTCTCCTCTAACAGCAGCTGGCAGCAAACAAAGACCTGAAAACCTGTTTTCCTTCGTTCCACAGCTGACGTTTGTTGGCACAACTTCAGTTTTTTCTTCAGTTGTTGTTTGTACAGTGAAGGTGGCTGAACACATACAAGGAAACTGGTACCCAGTCCACACAAATGAAATATTAAATGAAATGATCCTGGTTCTTATGAGCGTTTCTCAGAAAGGAACAGATCCATCAGATCCGGCTCCTCCAAAGAGCCGTTATCACTATTATCAAAGGTAAAAACATCAGACTCACTCAGCTTGTTCCTGTGGATGTCCGTCAGATCAGCAGCCTGATGGCGTCTCGTCCAAGTCCGTCTGTGAAAAAAGAGAACTGCTGATTTATTTTAAGGTGGCTCCTCCCATAATCAGTCAGGTGACTGCAGCTGCTGTCTCACCATCATATCGTCTTCATCAAAGGATGCAGTCTGACTGGTCTGAAGGCACAAGTCACATGTTATTTGAGTCTGGCAAGCTGTGACATGTAACCACTTATAGGGACCTGCCAACCTGTCCTGCTCTACTTTAGGCTCAGTGGGTGGTGCATATATTTCTTGTGTTGTCTCTCTGACTGCTGAAGGTTTTGTTGTTCTGAGGGCAGTGAGTCAAAGAGAATCTGACTTATCACGTGGTTCCTTTTCATACACTGTATCGCTGTTCTTTCTTTTTACAGTGTGTCCAGTGTGTAGATAACACTCATCTCTGAGTCCGCCTACAGGTGGGAAATTGACCGTCTGATGTTCTGGTGCCGTCAAAACAACAGTCATCTTCTATCTATCATTTTAAACCATATTTCTATTTTTTTCTTCTTTCGTGTAGATAAAAATCACGTAGCCAGACACAAAAAAACTGTTGAGCTAGCTGGCTCCTTCCACCTGGACTTACCTGCTGTCTGTTCTGTTGAGGTTCTGCTGCAGATGAACAACGCTGGAAATGCCTGACAAGAAATTAACGCAACAAGTTTCATTTTATTGGTTGTTTGAAGTTTTGTTTGAAGGTTGAAGATTTGTCATGTACCTTGTGGTGGGAATTGCGTGTTTAAATAAACAGCTCAGGCAAACACTTGTCTTTCTGTGAATTTTATTCACAGCAACACACATACGCCGTGTACATGTGTGCTCGACTGAGTGAGGAGAGCTGAGTGAGCCTGTTATTTATCCAGTTTTAGGGTCAATCTTATCATCCCACAGAGACACATTGTCCCTGAAGTCTGGATACCACAGAGAACAGAGATATTTGACTGTTAAGTTTACACAGCACAGATGAGTCTCCCTGAGTCCAGGGTTACATGCAGTATGTTTGGAATTCCCATTACAACCTCAAGCTGAGCCGAGGTTTGGTCACCGGTCTGCGTCCTTCTCTACTGGATCATCTTCAGCGCTGATGAAGATGATCAACCAGAGAGGTAAGAAGATTAGACTGAGGGAGGAACCTGCAGAAACTTCACCTTCATCAGACTAAAGATGAGAAAGCAGAGTTTTTGTCAACTTTAGTCCTTAAAACGGACAAAGTTATTATTGTAGGAGATTTTAATATTCATGTGGACGTTGAGAATGACAGCTTTAGTACTGCGTTTATCTCTCTGTTAGATTCCATCGGCTTCTCTCAGAGTGTTCATGAACCGACTCACTGTTTTAACCACACCCTCGACCTTGTTTTGGTGTATGGTATTGAAATTGAACATTTAGTGGTGTTCCCACAGAATCCCTCTTTATCCGACCACTGTTTGATAACTTTTGAGTTTGTATTGCTGAACTACTCGCCATTGGGCAAAAATTTCTATACTAGATGTCTGTCTGATAGTGCTGTAGCTAAATTTAAGGATGCGATTCCATCAGCTCTAAATTCATTATCTAGTTACAAAAGGAGGATGCTAATTTCAGTACCTGTTGCCCCTGGAACCAGGAAAAGAGATCACATTTCTCTTGTTTTTGCTTCTCTGCATTGGCTTCCAGTAAAATCCAGAATAGAATTTAAAATCCTTCTTCTCACCTACAAAGCTCTTAATGGTCAGGCACCATCTTATCTTAAAGAGCTCTTCGGCTGCATTCGAAAAGTCTTTTTTGCTTAGGAAGGTTCTGACTGAGTGAAGTGAACTGGAAGTATTTCAGTCTCAGTGTTTTCTACAATAAAAATAAATAAATCACAGACGATAAAGGAGGCTGATCGCCATGTAAGTTACCACTGGCTACTGAACCTTTTCTCTCTTATGCCATAACTTGCTAATATGCATTCATCTTAAACTGTCAACAGTAACTGAGACCCATGAGAGCTGTTACTGGTCT